GAAGGAAAGAAATACGCAAATAATTCATGTCTAAGATTTTAAATTAAACTCGCAATTATTTTCTTTTTTTTGAATTTACTTCATTGCAATTTTGAAAAAAAGTGTCGCACATATTTGCATAGGAAAATAATGTCAAACAAATAATATAATGCTTGTTATAATGATAATAGTAGTTACTTTGATAGAAAATGATAAAAGTAACAATGACAAAATTATTTATGAAAATAATAATATTGATCATAATAATGATAAAACAATGCATCACTTTGCTAGAGCAATACAAGAATTTTGTTAGAATAAGCTTAGTTAAATTTAATTCGGTTAATTGAACTTATTGAAATTTAAGGAATTTTTTAGAAAATTTGCTCATATTTATGCAAAAGCTATAAAACATTGATATCATAGATTAGTTTCATTACGTTGAACTCGTTAACAAATCAGTTTGAGAAGTTTGATAATAATTAAAATGTTGGAACGATAGATAGTCTAATTTAAACAAAAATGAAAAAAATTGAAAGATATAATTGGGATAAATCATAATAATAATAGCTTGAGAAACTTGCGCTTAACATGAAAAAAAGTGTAATAGAAGAAGCAAAAGAATATTCTAAATATAAATATATATATAAATTATATATATATATGAAAAATGATGGAATGAGTTCATGTATGAGTCTGTGTGTGTGTGTATATGTTTGCATGTATGTATGCATGTGTGTGTATGTGTGTGTATAGGTTATGTTTATATTCGTATGCGTATGACATAGAGTTTGCACTATGAAAAAGGCAAGGCCTAGGCTTAGATTAGGGTACTGCTAAAGTTGAAGCTTAGCTGAGCTGGGCTAACTTAGCCAGTATAAGCTGAAATAGCAATAAGGAGTCTCAACAAATCTAACAAAATTAATACGTAATGATGTGTGTGCATCTTTTCAATGAGAGAATTGAAGATATATTTATGAAAATTTAAAATAAACTATCTTCTAATTGAATAAATGAATGAAGGAAAAAGCGACGAAAAAAAGAACCAAGTTTAAATGTTACACCGATAATTCATTGAATTCAAACTTTTTCTTTAAAATGATAGTTGAAAAAAAAAAATGAAATTTCTCAACTGGCAAATTTGTGAAAATCTGGCGAAGTAAGCGAATTAATGTTTGAAATAAAATGATAAGATCAAATTTGTGATGAAATATAAAATGAAATTTGAAGTTGATGGAAGTGAAAAAGTGTTGGGAATAAAATAACTTAATTTGTAACAAAAAACATAGCATTTTTCATTCTTTTTTCAAATAAACAATATATTTTCCTCATTTCTTCTCTCCTTTTTTTCTTTCAATTTTATTTTTTTGTTTTTCTTTTGCTTTTCTTTATTGGAAAATAATACTTTATTTTATCACAATGTGATAAAATAAACAAGTCGTTGTAGCATACGTGTATGTGTCTGTATGTATGTGTGTATATGTGTATGTGTGTGCATGTGTGTGTGTGTATATGTGTGTGTATGTGTGTATTTGTATGTATATGTGTGTATGTGTGTTGCATTTCATTTGTCGATTACTGTAATTATTAAATAATTGAAAAGTTATTAACAGTAATTGTATCATTCATTGATAATAACACTGCAAATTCTCCTTCAGTTAATGTTATAGACATTTTGACAATTATTAATTAAATTATTTCTTTTAATTTCGTTAGTGTCCAATTTTTGCTTTTTAATTTTTTAATTTCAACTCTTCAATTTATTATTTTTTCTCGTTTTTTTTTTCAAAAATCTTTTACACTGTTTACACTATGAAATGATAGGAGGCAGAAATAATTGTAATGATACTGTAAAGAAGCTGATATGTGTATTTCATCTACTGATGCTGATAACAGAAATGATATGCTAATTGAATCGATCATTTTATTCTGCTAATTAATAATTAAATATTTCCACTTGTTTTTCTTTTGATGAAGCAATTGAGATTTGTGTATGATTTCTAACATTCATTCCGTGCAATAAATATCTTCATTTAAGCTAATAAGTGAAAACTGTAAAATTGATTTTCTTACATATTTTTAAAATTAGAATACCTTTTTTTACTTCCGTTAAAAAAAGTCTCTAAGAGAGAAATTTTCAGGCGCAAATTTGATTTTTTTCTTTCTCCCTTGCTAAGAATGAGGAAAGTTGAATTATTATTTGTGCATTTTACTTAAACGAGAGGATATATCAAACATAAAACAAAAGTAATTTCGGTTTGAAAATGACAAATATCAATAACGGACAAAAATGTTTATGGCAACTTTTTATTTACTTATTTATTTCTTATTTTTTTGCGAGAGGATAAATGAAATTTTAAATGTGCTACAAGTAAATTGTTGAATTGAAATGGAATAATGTGAAAATTTTTGTTCCGTTGAAGAAATATTCAAAGGTATAAATTGGTAATGCTTAAATAAATCTCAAATTGTTATTTTCTCTTCATTTTTTCTTCCATTCAATCCTTGTTCAAATAATAAAAATGATAAATATTCAGCTTCTAACCGCTTCCGCTTTTTCCTCTTCCTTCTTCAAAAAATAAAAAAAAAAGTGAATGTGACATACAGTTTTCATGAATATTTTACAAGCTAAGACAAATAAAATGTTTTTTTTTTTTTTCAAATGCTAATACTACTAAATGGATAGTTTACTTCGTATCATAATTGATTTCAATAAATTTTAAAATATATTACTTGCATTGCATATATTCAGTTCTCTTATTTAGTTCAGTAACAAATTATTAGATCTAGCAAGAAAGAAAGGGAGAAAAAATAGATTTTTTTTTTGAACTAGTATTTAAAAAATTGCTTCCGCTCTTTTTTAATTTGCTGTGTACAACAGAGGAATATCCTCAGATAACTACAGTTTATTAAATGATACATTTGTCATATCTTTTGATGTTTTTCATGTGCTATCTTTTCACGTAAAAAATTAAGGTGATAATATCGTTAGAATTTGAATAAAAATATTACAACTCAATATTGGTTTTTCAAGTAAAAAATTCATTAAATAATTGCCAAAATAAAAAGTTGTCGTTTCAAAATTATTTGCTTTTCCTACGCTCTTTCAAACGGTATATCATAAATATCTGAATGAACTTTACACTTGTTAAATTTTAACTTCATCAAATTCTTTACTTGAATTTAACATATCGAAAATCTTTTTATTAAAATATTGCAGTTTTATTTGGACATTTTCCTTTTTTTTTGATAATTAATTAATTTAATTGTAAGGAGGAAAGAAATTACCGAGCACGTCGAGACCATAAATAGGTATAGTAGAGTAGTTGAAAATAATTCGATTGCTTCATCTTTCTGTTATTTCTTTCCACGAATAATTGATGATATATTGATAGGTATGAAGAAATTTTAAACTTATATCAAATTTTAAAAGCCATAAAATTTAAGAAAAAGTTAAAAAAAAAGGACTTTCCCCTTTTTTTTTTTAAATTGCACCGTAAGAAATAAGAAAAAAGAACAACGACGAAGAAAACTTACTACGTTATAGGAAAATAGGAAATGAAATGACAAAATGATTGCTTTTTTCTGTTTGTCGAAGTTAGCATTATTAATTTACATTGTTTGATTGCTAAATTTGCTAATTGTTCTTGAAAGTTAGCGAAAAGTTTTTCGTTTCTGAATATTCTTTTAGCCATTGCTAAAAAAGAAAACTCTTATGTGTAAAAAAGCTAAAGTTTTATTATAATGATGATTTATCGTGATGATTTTCAACCTTTTATACGAGCATAAATTTTCCTAGCAAAGAAAGCTTAATTTAAAAAAAGAAAAAAAAACCTCTATAATTGAATGTTGTAATGAGTCAGCAGTTTGACAAATGAGGAGAGAAAAGAAACGTTGATTCAATCATCACATTCAACTAACTTTACTCATTTTGGTCATTCAATGTCCAGTTGATTTCTTACATTATGCATATACTTTTACCTGTATGCGATCATTCTCATCAATGTGATGAAATCAATTAAAAGTGATTAAAAAATTTTTTCCAATCGATAATTTATGTCACGACCAGTGAATTAGTATTATAAGTATAAATTTGTTAATGTTTCGCATAATTTCAATTTTTACTTTGGATTCTTTTTTTGCATGAAAAAATAAGACAGGATATCATTTTGAAATTTAAAAAAATTATTTTTCAAAAAAAAAAATGATATTTTATATTTATAAAAACAGTTAGCAATATTCCTATCAAATGTTATCTTCTAATATTGAAATTGTATTCGATGATTTCGGTTCCATAATTTTAATTAATTTTTAAACTGTTATAAATTAATTAAATTTACCTTTATTACTTGCCTTTAGTATTTTTTTTTGTTTTTTGAGTTTGCTTTATCGATGAAAATTCAAACAATTGAATAATTTTTAATGCTACAATTAGCAAAAATATACTTTATATTCGATGACTTTTTTCTGCACAAAAATTTAATTATTCAATTTCAACGAAAAAGAAGTGCGAAATGTGAATTCTTTTTTTTCCTTCCTTCCATCTTCCTGAGTCTTCTCAGAATACTATTTGTTCTTCCTAACAACATTTATAGTATCGTTATATGATGATGCATAAGATTTTTCAAGAAAATCATTTAACAAAAAAAAAAAAATTCCAGATAGGCAAAAGTTACGAGAGTAAAATTGAAATTATGATTGCTTCTTTTTTTATTTCAGAAAAACGAATGTTAATGAACCTTATTTTAAACATTGCTCGATTATGTTGCCATGGTGCTCCGCTCCTTCCGCCTTCTTTCAAAACTGCCAAAAATACGAAAATGGAAGTTTGAAGAGAGAGAATTGAAACAAAAAAAACGGAATCACATTTCCAGTAAACTGGAAATGTGATTCCGTTTTTTTAAACTGCATCATTTTTCTTAATTCGTTTTATTTGTTTTGTTTTTTTGTTTTGTTTTTTTGTTTTGTTTTTTGTTTTGTTTTTTGTTTTGTTTTTTATTAAGGACATCGCAGAACCATTGATGGATTTACAACTAGCGATGAAAGAGGTTGAAGAATCGAAAACATTCCGGACCGCTATGGGAATGTTACTGATCATTGGAAATACGTTGAATGGAACTAATGTGATTTGATTTAAATGAAATATGAAAATGGCGAGGAGGAATGAATTTGCAGTAATTTTGTGAAAGAGCGAAGATTCCTCATTGCTGCTTTTCAGAATTTCTGAACCCATTTCTTTCTCACCGTGGAAATTCTCTGCTCACGAGACATTTCTTGATGGACAAGAAATCTCATCCAGTTTATTATAAATGATGCTATTGAAACCTTTTTCATTTTATAACTTTAATTTTGTTCATTTCTTTAAATCGTTTTACGTTCGTCGAATAGCATCATTTATAAGTTAGTGGTAATGTAAAATTTTTATCCTCAAAATTTGTTTAATTTAGATTTTGTTTCTTTTGCAGATTAAAGGTTTTCAATTGGATTATTTAAGCAAAGCATCGGAAGTAAAGGATCCAGTTTATAAGCATACGTTAACATATCATTTAGCGGAATATATGATTGAGCATTGTCCGGATGGAACCGATTTATATTCCGAATTTGGTGCTGTTGCTCGTACAGCAAGGGTAGAGTAAAATTTTCATCTTTTCTTTTTATTATTATTCTTTCAAATTTTTGCTAAATTTAGATCTGAAACTGATTTGTAATTTCTGGCTTAATATAAATTGTACGATTTGGTGCTTTAATTTCAATTGAACTAAAATTTAAACTCTCTTTTTTGAAGTTTGATTACGATGAATTGGAGTCAAATTTGAAGAAATTAGAGCATGATTGTAAAGCATCCTGGGGCTATTTGGCTAAAATTAGCAAAAATGACAGTTCATCATCAATGAAGCAAAAGATAAATGATTATTTGAATGATGTGGCACAGCGAATTCATCAGCTTAAGGCTATTTACAGGATTGCTTCTAACAGGTTAGTAGCATCCGGTGAAAATAAGAATGCATTGTTTATTGGCTAATATTGAAATCACTGATATTTTAGCACCCTTTCATCCTCCCTTTCTCAATAACTTTCGGGAAAGGATGAATTTTTCACTTTTATCTTAACGAAATGTTATTTCGTTCATTTCAACCATTAAAGTAAAAAATGGATTTTTTGGTATCTCATCATATGAACATGTTGTCTTACAGAATGTCCGTAATGGAAAAGATAAATTTTTTAAATTCGATTTCTCGAGATTCATTTTTAGCAATTAGTTAATTAAAATGAAAAACATTTGTTAATTTACAGATGGCATGCATTTTTGCTCTTTTTTGGCTATAGCGTTAACGAAGTACCAACATTGAAGCCAATGGCTGTTTTCAAAATGGTCAATGAATTTGCTCTCGAATATCGTACCACACGAGATAAAATTCTGCAGCAAAGAAAACGATTAGCGGATAAACGTGAACGGAATAAAACACGGGGTAAAATATGGGCATTAGAAGGTCAAAATGGTGAGGATAGTATGGAATTGAACGGGAATTTAAGACGTACACCGGTACAAATGAATGCTGAACAGGTCAGTGATAAGAAAATTAAAGGAAACTTCATCAATATCAATTTTATAATGTTTCGGAGAAGAAAAACGATTTTTCTAAAGATTACTTTATCTATATTTATATATTATAACTGATGAGATTCTTAACATTAGCTCTTTAGCCATAGCAAAATAAAAAGACTTAATCTTTTCTTTTGCTTACTTTAAGCTTCTAGTCTTTGCCTTCGATGTCGCAACAAAGCATTCATTTCTGATTTGAACAATATTGATCGGATTATTTCAATATTTCCTTTTTATAAAAGCAACTCACTGTTCATGCTGTAATAATAAAAGATATCATATATTGATTGGCTCGAATCTCGTTGAGTTTTCCATACATTTTCAGCGACATGAAGCGATGTCACGTATGCTAACTGGTGGAAGTAACGATGATACGTTGAAAAGGACAAGAACAAAGCTTACAGCAGAACGATCAACTGCTGATATTATTTCAAGTCAAAGAGAAAGTAATCAGTTTTGTGATATTTCTTTCATTTTACATTTACATGTGACAAAAAATCCACTCTTCACACCAAATGTTTAAGGATAACAAATACCGATTAATTAAAAAGGTAATTAGACTAAATTGATGTCTTTTATGCAATTTCCATTTCGAGAATTTGCAGTGTTGAGATCAGTTGGACGACCAATGGATTCAAGTAGTCCCGGGCGAGAATCACCGGATGATGAAATACTTGATGGCCTTGTAAAAGCAGCTACAATTCAAACTGAACCACGTGATCATCGACGTAGGGCTAGGCAATTTAATCGAAAATCATGTAAGTTATTATTTTTTTCTTCCAGGCACCATGAATTTTAAGTGTTTCATCACAATACGTTTACATTTTTTACTCATATTAAAAAAAAAAAAATCTACTTTAATTCAATTATAAAATTCACACTCTATTTTTTAGAATAAAATTTAAAGATTTATATCTTAAGTTATTCAATTCCCGAATTGTTAAATGAATTTGTTTTATCAAAGTATTCGTATTTTAATGCTCTTCCATTTCTATGACTTATTTGTTTCAGTGAGGCGTACTCGAACATTAAAACTCGTTGATGATCAATCAAGTAGTACAGTAACAACTGTTTGAAATTCAATCTTCAAATTTTTCATATCTTATTTCACTCTTATTAAATCATTATTGCTTCTGTTTAAAATAGTTTTTGTTTTTGCTGAAAAAAAAAAAGAAGTTAATTCAAAAAAAAGGAAACGTATCATCATTACCATTCAATATTTTCAAATAGCAGCAATAATGAACAATCTCGCTAACAACCGTCAACAGTTCCTTCTTAGGGAAAATGCTCAATGATTTGAAGAAAGAGTGAAAATTAAATTTAGCAAAACATATATTTCTTTCTTTTTGGAGAATTGAATGAATGTGTACTTTAAAAGACTAAAAAATTTTCATGAAAATGAAATTTTATGTCATTCTTTCGGATAAAATCGTCAATCGTTGCTTTTTTCTTTTTTTTTTTCTTAACTGTTATCATCATCAGTCCTATGTGTACCATGAAAAACATCTGGATTAAATTGCACGAAGAAAACGGGTCCTTTTTCATCCCTATATGCCTTTTCTGTCTATTTCATCCTAATTTTTCCTCACATTCAATACCAAAATAGTCTTTTCTTTTTATATATGTATTTTGCCTATATGGAAATTCCTATATACGTTGTAGATGTGTGATTTGTTAAATTTTAAATTTTTCTCAATTTACCTTCTATCTTTATTTATGAATTTAATGTGATGTATTGATCAATGCTTTCAATAAAATGTTATAGATTGCATGATAAAAATGAAACTAATGAGTGCAAATTATGAATGTCAATCGTCAGATATCAGTTATGATCACTACTATATCCCTCACAATTACTACACATGACATCAATATTTCTATTTGAAGATACATTCAGAGAATCTATCCTATCATAGTTCAGAAAGAAAATTATTATTATATTATAACATTACTATGATATTATGATTATCATATTATGACAAAAAATGATGGTCAAACGGGCAGAGGATTATAATGTGAACTCTATCCGATGCTTAATACTGACCATATTCGACAAGCACTTTGCATTACCAAAAGGAGGACAATGCATATCCTATACATCTCAAATGGCGCTAATGTTTTGTTCAGTTAGAAATCACTCCGAGGTTAAGCAGTCAATGGAGTAAACTTAACTTTTCACAGTTTTATATAACATCACTCTATTATTCTCGTATCTTACAGGTCATCAAGGGTAGCACCTGCTGATGAAAATAGTTTAATTACTCATTTCTCCGTTGCAGTGTATTTTGGTATATCAAGCTTTATTAGTTAGACAATTTAACAAGCAGTTCATCAATCAACACCGCTGCAATTACAAACATATCTAACATAATCAAATATTCCCAATAAGCATACAAAAACATGAAGTGGTTTAATTAGCTAACCAACCAAACCACTCAATTGCTTATTTTAACAATTCATAAAATTTGAAATATAAAAATCCATCTTTGTATTATACAGCTAGCTAAAAAAATGCAGGTAAAATTCAAACATGTCCATAAAATTTACTGGAATGTCAAAAACGAACAAAATTGATCACATCTGTAATTGTTTTGAAAGAAAATGTTGCATCGATCTAAGGCTTCCATAAAAAAAACTATCCTACATTTTGAACTAAGCTTGAAAAAACCTTCCGGAACGGCTGACAGCCATAAACATCAACAGAAAAATGGTTAATCTTCATCCGAGCTTTCACTTAATTGTAAATCATCATGTAATAATTTTTTTGTATTACTATTAACCGGTAGCGGCGGTGGAGGATATGATTTGACTTTTCTTTGTTTTGTTTCTTCAATTGAGGGCATCGATTGCGAACGTAGTTGCTGCTCCAGCGCTTCTGAAAAATATTTACGAATATAAAAAGAAACGATGAATACATCCATTGCATATTCTAAATTCGAAGATGTTCTTGATGAGTTGTTGGTCCATGAACCTGGATTTTCATGCATTATAAGAATACGAAGTTCAAGGCTCATCGAGAAAAAATATCATATCCACTGCATAGAACAGATAATTTTCTACCTGAAATTTTAATTTTAAACATATTTTTCAAGATCAATATCTTGAAAATATGTTTAAAATTAAAATAGTTAATCGTTAAGTAACATACAGTCATGCCTGAAAATAAAAGCACCTTGTAAGTCATCATCATCACCAGTATCACTACTCATACTTCTAGAATCATCACTGCTGCGCATACTTTTTGATGTTACCAATGCTGATTTTCTATCTCCGTCATCACATTCGGAATCGGAATCACACGATTCAGATGATGCAACTGTTGAAGAACTGCTTGAACTCTGAAATCAAAGAATTAATCATATCAACAATCCGACAAAAGTGTTTACAAAAAGTAATTTTTATAACTATGACTATCCAGTCATTCATTACTTAAAATAATGAAATAGTCCTTCTAGATCTTCATATTGTTCCATTGCTCCTTTTTTTGTTTTGAAAAACTCAATAATAAAAAAATAATAACATCAATCAATATGAAGCTCTATAAAACTTATTATATTAAGTAAGGTAACAAAATAATGGAAATGAAAATGAAGAAACCAACTTTGGTATCATCCATTTCACCATCCGACTTTTCTCCGCTTCCTTTCCGTAATCGTTCAATTTCGAACCGTAACTTTATAGAGGCGCTATCTTCGTTATCTCTGGAACTTATTATTACAACTGTGATAGTATAAAATGTTCTTAATCAGATTCATGTTTAACGTTATTGATATGATAATTGAGTATAAGTTTCACTCATTGCACAAGAAAATTGCATGATGCATCTAATTTCATATCAAGTTATTCTTTTTTACAATGTAATAATTTTAAAAAAAGGAATTTCCGCCAAGAATTGCAGGAACTGTTATCATCATTAATAGCTAACAAGTGGGCCTCAGTATTGCAAAGTGATATAACAATGCAAAATGGAAATTTTCCAAAGATACAATTCTTGAAACCATTAAACCTACTCATTGAGTAAGCTATTAGTTGTTCTGCCAGCTCTGCTTCCACCTCTGAACAAATAGAGAGTATTTTATTTTCTATCTAATTGCACTTTCTTAAAAATATCCTTTTCAATATCAAACCGTTACTATCAATCACTCTTATTATTACTGCCATATAGTGTGGCAAGATGAATTTAGTCATTTTAACTTAGAGAAAATGTTACCTTGTTTTTTTCACAGACATTATGGATGAAAGCTTTTCAATCCTCATTTCCCCGGTTGAATGATCGAAAAACAGTAAACATTCTTTCTCACCTTTTACCGGCTTTTGTGCTCCTTTAAACACTGTTAAGGCATCTCCATCACCTGGTACTGCTACCTGTAAAAACAGCTAAGTTCACGAAATTTTTTGCTTTAAATCCCTATAAAAAATTACAGTCCCAGATCGATCCCTACTTAGGAATACTATTATCAAGAAATTGATATTTGCTGAACTCGCTGCAGCATTACTTTCTTTAGACCTTTGAAAGATAAAATGCACTGAAAAACTTCAAAAAAAATCATAAAAATAGAGAGAAAAGAAATAACCTGTACATCACCATTTCCACCAAACGCTATGAATGTTTCTTTCTCACCTGCCAATGATTTTGGCTTGAAATCAACTGAAAATATATTTTTTTAAAACCTCGAAGAAATAAAAAACTTCCTGATTTCAACAGTGTACAATTTGTTCATGTCAGTGTGTACTAAATTGTTCCATCTGTCACTTTAATTACATTAAAAAATACCTTAGAATGATATACGTGTTTTTGGATTATTGGATTTAAATTCAATCACAAATTTTTGTATTTATATTATCAGCAAATATTGAAATATACAAAATGATCAATAAATCAATAGTTGAAAGGACCTACATCGAAGCGTGTGATAAACAGGCTTTTCTCCTCGTTCATGAAATGATTCGCCGAATTTCAGATTATATGTTCCAGAAGGAATTTCACGAACTTCCGCCATCCTGTAATGAAATTTTTTTTTTTTCATAAATGATACTGAATAGAGGACAAACGATTACGAAATTAGTTCAACTATTCCGAAATGTACCTCTGTTTATTTGTAATATTTCATAAAATAAACCCTGATACCTTCCCTTCTCTCCCTTGCTCTGGGAAGTAATGCAAAAGTTAAAGGAACATATACAAACAGTAAGATAAATGTGTGAACTTTGAACCCAAATTAAAATACAACAATCGAAATCGAAAATACAAAGCAAATTTCCTTTAAATTTTTCCCATTTTTTAGTTAAATATTGTATGAAAAATATGCTTTATGAGTTAATATATTTGGTATATATTATTATGAAAAAAAGATAAATATAAATTTAAAATATGCAAAAAACAGAGAATGCTAAAGAATAAAGGAAAGTTTTTGAAGCTCGGCGATTTTTCAATACGACAACGATGAAAGAGTGAACGAAAAGAAAAAGATAAGCATGAGGAAAGATAAGAGATAACAGCTAATGATAAGATAAAGCGTAACAAAATATCATACAAAGAATTTAAGAAATCAATCAAACAATACCCCAAAACTATTAAGTACGACGTGAACCGCCCGATTTTAGGTTATTGCCTGAATTGCGATTGGTTGTGTTTAGCAGTTTACTGTTATTGTGCAGTTGACGACGCTACGTGATAATTGAAATTTTGCGTAATTGTTTTGAGTCACAAATATAGCGATATTAATTGCTCAAATTGAAACTTTACGTTGAGTGTGATTTCGTTTTACGCCTTAAAAATTTTCTTTTTTTTGGAATCAAAAAAGTTTTTTTTTTTTTCTGAATTTTTTTTGAATTTTTTTGAATGTAAGCATAATTGATGGTAGAAAATTGGTAAACATTATATACTTTGCATATTGTTGGAATGTATGCATATTGCAGGAAAAATTAAGTGAAAGAAGCGACAAAACGATCACAATTTATGGTATAAATTATCAATGTCTTGAACAGTGTGTGTGTGTGTGTGTAGTGAATTTTTTAATTTAATTCTGATTTTTATGAAATTTAAATTCTTTCATGTTTATTTATATATGCAATATTTGATAAAGAACGATACAAAGTATGATAAATATTTTCCGGGACGAATTAAGTCACAATTCGATCATTTAAAACCTATGGATGAACCGACAGAAATCTATGAGCAACTTAATTTGTAAGCTTCCCAGAAATATGAAATATTTTTAAATGTATTGCATCTTTACGCAGACTTTTCGAGTTCATCATCACTTCAGTAATTTGTCAATATTTTTCTCACAGTTACGGATGTATTTTTGTATTTTAATAGTAATCATAGTTGCACTTTAATTATTAGCGCTATAACTGTCTAAATAATGTATCTTTTAAAAGTGTAGTTATTTCGAATAGTATGTATTCCTCATATAATAAACAAGACTCATAGTATCAGTTGCTGAACCATTACATTTAAACTCATTAACTAGCTTCCACTTTTTGTTCCTATTTAGGTGTATTTTTCCCGAGAGATTTTGTTTGGAACCAAGAGGACGAGACGGTGGTTCAGTTTCGAATACGTATTTAGAAATTGATCGTAATACAGAGAAGCTGGGTTTGATAAGTATGTTGGCTTCAATTCGTTATGTGAAAATTTACATACTCTGTTATTTATATTTTTTCTCTTAAATTCTTTTGAGTTTTTATTAAATATTTTATTTGCCAGAAAATATCGAGAAACCAATCCTTATACATGATGCTGAAGTGAAAGTTATTCATGGAATTGTTGGTATTGTTAGAATAGTATCAGGTTTGTGTTGTATATTGATTTTATCGTTTCAGTATTTGTAAATGCATGTATGTGAACTAATATATCCCAGTCTTTGCTTTCATATGCATGTATTTAGCTTTGTATATACGAAGAAGTAGATGTTATGGTAGTTCTTCTAGAAATCGCATTTTAAGAAATTGTCTTTTTTTTTTCAGGAAATGCTTTGATAACTATAACAAAGGCTAATCTCAAAGGTGTTTTAAGTGGTCATGAAATATGGGTAATAACTGAAACAGAAATTATACCGTATGAGAAGACAACATTACATCTAACAGAAAAACAGGTCACTTATTTCCTATGACTTTTCTTTCTACTATCTACTTGAGTTTGGTTGAAATTAATAATCAGAAAATGTTGCGCTCCGTTAGGAATGCTAGAGCTGAAGTTTTAAAGACTTTGAAACCATATACCTTACAAATTATGTGGATAACAAATTTTTCAGTTATCTTGCTAATTTTTATTTAAATGATTTGCTGCTTTTGTTTTATTTAATTGCACATTGCTGCATTAGGAAAATTGAAGTAACCAATTTTAAATGGAACAATGACGTTACAGATTTGGTACAATCGGCATTTTACTGATATGATCCAACTTGTATTGTCAACTGGTGGATTTTATTTCTCTCGCACTTACGATTTGTCACATTCAGCACAATGGTTAGCAGAAAATGCTACACCACTCTTCAAAAGACTTCCAATGATGGGTCGAGTTCGTTCTTTCTGATTTTTCTCATTAGTACTTTGAATAGATTTTTTCTGTCTTTAAATTCGACATGAATTTTGTTTTTTGTAGGGTTTGTTACTTTTTTGCTATATTTGGTCTCAGACATGTCCCGTTCGTGGTCACGTTTCGTAGCTGCACTGCGTCAAATATTTAGCGATTGAGTGCAATAGAATTTAAGAAAAAGTACTGTTTGAACTTCGTTGTATTAAGAAAAGTTATATTTGACACATTGGGGGCGGGGAGAGAGAGGGAGAGAGGAGGGTTTCGGCAATCTTTGCCTCATTAACCTTGTCAGTTAACAAATTGACTGCACTATCTTTTTAATATTTGGTCTCTTTGTTTCCAAAGTTTGCTTTACAAGGGTGTTTTATTTAATTTACTTTGCAAGGATTTTTTTTATTGTTTTCTTTTTTATCTTTCATCTTTCATTTATTTTGTATGCATTTTCAGTCGGATGAACGTTTTGTGTGGAATCGATATTTGTCAGCTCCACTTGCAGCTGTTCCCGAATTATTTCGATATGTACTTCCTATAATACATGGCTTTTTTGATATCAGTCGTTGTATTGTTAATGGACATGTCTTCCAACTTTGTCTTATATCTCGGAGATCTATATACAGGTTTGGATCACTTCCATTTAGTGCTAGTATTCCTTTTAATTTATTCATCACTCCAAGATGGAATTCATAATTATTACTGTTTTATTCCGTATCTGGAAAATTATGCATTGAGAAATGCGTGATTTGGTAGTTATTTACAACCTTTTAACTATTTAGAACATGAATGTCGGAAAACCTCTATGTCTTATCGAATAATATGAGTTAACTAAATTTCTTTTTCCCTTTTGCGATACAACTGTAATCCTAACCTATCACAGCGATGGTAATTGAAACTTATCTATTAACTCATGAAAAAGGACCAAATGAGAATCGGGTTTTTTCGCAGGTAGAAATGAGTGGTATTCGTTTGTGTATGAGAAGCAATATCAGCAAATATAATTTTTGAAAATCAAGAAAAATTTTAGAGCTGGTACAAGGTTTTATATGCGTGGCGTTAGTGCTAATGGACATTCGGCAAACTATGTAGAAACTGAGCAATTAGTGGAATACAATAAAGATAGGAACTCGAAACAAAAATATTTGACATCATTCGTGCAGGTTAGTATGGAGGATTTTATAAAAATTCTAATCGAATCTGCTAAAGGGTATGAATAATTTTTGGATTTTTTTCTTTAAAATATTATGTGTTTGCTTGATTTGGAAGCAAAATTTTTTTGCGGAAATTTTTTGTCTTCTTTTTGGAGCAAGTGTAAAATATGTTTAAAAATCAGAATTTGTCCTTTTTTTGCATCATTCTTGAAATTTTTAGATCAAGTATAAGATGCATACAATTTACAGATAAGAGGATCAATACCATTATTTTGGTCGCAGAGACCAAATCTTCATTGGCAACCGGAACCATTGCTAAATCCTATTGATGATCAAACGGAAGCTTTTAAGCGACATATGATAATGCAGCAGAATATTTATGGAGGGAAACATGCTAGTAGTTTCACAAATATTTTTTTCAATTTCTTAACAATAATAAGTAAATCTATATAAGTAATTTAAGTATTTATATAATACAAATGCAGAGAAACTGAAGAAAACTTTTTCAGCAGCACTTGTTTCATTGGAATGCTGTTGTTAATATAAGAACTTTTATTGAATATTCACTCTTCAAATGCGAAGCTTTTCAGGCTTATAGTATACGTAAAATTCAAAATAATAAGCATAATAAAATGTGCCATTTTTACTTAGATTAAAATTAATATAAAAAATATGAAAGTAAGAAAAAATGTACTAAATATCTCTGATCCGAAAACTTGTTTATCAAGCTGCAAAAATTCATTCCTTTTATTTCAGGTAATCGTAAATCTGGTAAATCAAAAAGGGCGTGAAAAGCGTGTTGGTGGCGAGCTTGATCGAATTGTTATACGCACAAATTTAGATTTCGTCAGGTAAATTGTTATGAAAAATTTCAAGTCCTTAATGTAGTGCGAAAATAGAGAAGGGATTGAAATGCAGCGATAAATTTCAAGAGTCAGAATTGGAAAATTGGATTTTATATTTACTAACGAGCTGATGTGTTTTTAGACTCAACGCATTTGATTTTCATAAAGAATGTCGACCATTAAATTGGGGTCGATTGGATATACTCAAGAAACAACTTAGAGGCGAAATTACAGATTTTGGGTATGTTTGTTATTGCTAATAATTCCTCTTAAATGAAATTATGATTCAGTGGCGATGTTGTCTAGTGCCTAAAAAAGAAAAAGATGTAGTCTTATGGTTTTAATATTTTCCCATTCCAATATCTAAAAATTTTATGTATTAGAAAACTTGGAACTTTTTTACCTTAATCGGTCTGAACAGTAAAAAAACAACTTGTTTGTTAAGGATCTGAGCAGTTAACAAATAACTTATTTGCTTAGTTATTTAAATATTACATTTTTACAGATTCTTTGCATCTTTTACAAACTCTGTGGGACAAGTATACAAGCAGAAAGGATTTTTTCGTACTAATTGCATGGATTGTTTGGATAGAACTAATGTAGTTCAGTCAATGTTGGCCAAGGTATATGTTTTAGAGTAATCCATTTTTTTTTAAACTCCACTATTGAGTTAATTTTTAGATAGGATTGCAGTATATTACTGGGGATTGAATTTTGTCTTGTAACATTTTTTAAAACAACATTCAAACCTGTCAATAGTAATTTCGTTTTCATATAAATTAGGCATGACTTATCCTACTAAATAGCATGTTGATCTCGCCCGACTCTCTCATTTGAATTCTTTGCCATCCTTAATTTTACATCCAACTTTCCAAATTCGATTATATCTAGAAATAACAGATCGTTTAATGCAATAAATCTTTTCCCTAGTATTGTTGTATCCTAAACGTTCTGAAAGTACAACTATATTTTGCAACTTAACTATATTTCGAGAAGTATAGAATGATTATTGTTCCCATTCATTTATCTTTTTTGTTATAATAATCTCAAATCGTTTCAGGAATCACTGAAAGATCAGCTCTGTTATATGAAGATCATCGGTAATGGCTTTGAAGTGGACAGTTATCCGGAATTATCTGCTACTTTCAAAAGAAGTAAGCACTTCTGTTATGCGGAAAAATGTAGTCGTCTCATGTTCTTTTAAATGAAAGTGTTTATTTTTAGTTTGGGCCGATAATGGCGATGAATGTAGTCGTCAGTATGCAGGAACTGGAGCATTGAAGGTTCAGTGATTGCTTATTAAATTAAAGTGAAATTTGACACAATATTTTTAATGAACCTTAACATCGAAACCTGATATAACAATATGAATTCTCTATATCTAACTTTCTAAATTAGATTACAATCAGAAATAAGAGATCCTTTAATGCAATAAATTTTTTCGCAAGAATTGTTGCATTCTAAACATCTTACATTTTACGTATTCTCTAAAAGTAATTGTAATGTCAATCGTCGAACTATTTTATAGCGATTATCTGCATTTTTTGGTTTCTGATACTTTATTCTGATACTTTAATGTTTCACTTTATTTTTTTATAGGCTGATTATACGCGTTTTGGTAAGCGAACTTTTTCCGGAGCGTGGAACGATTGCGTAAATGCCTTCACACGTTATTTTCGAAACAATTTTGCAGATGGTTACAGACAGGTTGCTGAAATATTCTGGAACTTTTTGTTGAAAATACTACTTTCTAATCCAAGTTTTGTGAAGAACTTAGTACGGTTAAAAAATTTCAAAGTGACAAAGTGAAATTTTGTCGTTTGAGGATGATTTTATAGGAATGATTTTAGGATGCAATCAACCTTTTTCTTGGTAATTTTCGAGTTGATCCAAATAATTTGCCAGAAACTTTCGAAACTACAGTGCTCAGTTTTGATTATCATGGTGGTGCCATTGTCGGTGCAATTTTTGCAGCTGCAATGATTATTCTTTGCATGTTGGTAGCAGGTAGGCATATATAAATATGAGCTTCATCCATTAATTATTAATACGAAGGAATCTTAAAAGGAAATTAGTCATAGTTTAGCTTATGTAAATTAAACATGTGTAGACAAAACGGCAGAATTTGGAGACTAAAAATTAATCTCTCGTCACATTTTTTATTGGATTTGTTCGAAATTCAAGGATTATTGAATTGTCTTTATTGATACCGGAAGTTCTTTAACTGTATGTTTATGTGTGTGTATGTGTTTGTGTACAAGTATCATCACGAATAGCCTGTCAGAAAATCGATATTTTAAGCTTTATGAATTTAAATTTCAGAAAATATGACAGCAGCCGTATTTTGGCTTGCAATTTTCATGGCACTGATGCTGTTCATATTTATCAATGGTGAAGAGTTTGTAAATAAACCTCGATTGAAAATGGATTAAAATGTTCGATCAATTTATTTTCGATTTTGAAATTAACAGAGAAGTAATTAATATTTACTGTCGACTGTAATATATACCTCATAGATTCTTTTAAAGATCGGAAGTTTCTTTTCTCATATCAATTTATGATATCTTTAGCACTTGCAAAGTCTGACGAGAAATAATATCAGGTATTATTAAAAATTATACATTGCAGTATATTTTCTTTGTTTTGCAGAGTCAGAAATATAAAGCAAATGAAATTAGAAGTCAAAATATATATTTAAGATTGTGAATATTAATAAACCATTAAGGGGAGAGTAAATACCAAGTACAGTTTTATTTCTATTAATATGTTCTAAATGATGTTTCAAATATTAGGCTCATAATTCAATATTTGGAAATTAAATGATGTATGTAGTTATATCTTTATTTTAACGTCTCATATATCCAGTTACGGTTTTGTACAATTTCAGTATTAATTCACTCTTTAAAGTACAACTTTCCAACCTGTGAGTTTTTTTCGTAGTTATATTGACAGTTTCCTTCATATCTTACTCGGATTGCAAATTTAGTTTCATCGTTGAGGCATTTCAAACAATTAAAATATGGATGTTATTTTAATGCCAACCTGCCTTCATTTGTATATGTTTATGATTATTGGTAGATTATTGGTCATTTGTACAATTATACGATTATATTTGTTATATCGAATGATTGAACGGTGTGAAAATTCTATTCATTTTAGGTGCCTGATATTTCCTTCTTTTTATTCATTTTTTTTACTGCTTATCTTTCACTATACTCCCAAATTCTTCACTGATCGCATACAGTAGTCATTAAATATTTATGTATATTGTGTTCAAAAAAATGGATCTGAAATGAGTATTGCTAATAAGCTATGAACTATGTAAGGAAAATATGTAATTAAATTTCAAAAATGTGATAATCATTGACTGGTAGGGCGAGATTTATAAAACAGTGATATTTGATATAATTTTAAATCAATAAATGTGTATAGCATTGTATAACATTTCACAAAGTGTATGTTATGCATAAAGGATAAATGATAAAAATTTTGACGATTTTATATCTTGTAAAGTGAAGTAATTTTTTACTTATAAAATGCAAACTATTAATGGAAAAAGCGAAACGAGTTAAATTAGCAGAGTGATACATTCTGAGGAGAATCGGTAATCTTCAAAACAAACTATAAATAAAATATCTCATTTGCATTTACCTAACCCATACTAATCTTATCAAAATTATAATTTTGCCGAAATTTCACTTACAGACTTATCAATCCCCGTGTAATGAGCGACAATTATTCAGAACAAGAAGGCTATTGTAACAAAAAAAAAAAATGGCAATTATTCAAAGATTTTGATTTGTTTGCGATATCTGTCGGAAAAATTTCAAATCTTTCAAGACAGTTGGTACACTTTTATTCTTTCCTACCAATCACTACCATCATTTATTTTGCTGTCCATTTCATCTGTTGAGGCTATTTCATCTATGGAATTCTTGAACAATAAAATAAGTGTTAACAAATAATTTGTCTGTAAATTAACATAAATCAATCTACAACGCTTTCACAATAATATCAGTGTAATGATTATCGTAACTGTTTATTCAATATCATTGTTGTAAAGATGTTTTTTTTTTTTTTTTTATCATCTAGCAATGTTTTTTTTTTTTTTCATTCGAATCTCAGCAAAATATATATTAGATCAGAATTTTGCAAATCAAATTATCAATTAAAGGTTGAAGATGTGAAACTATTATGATCGAATAGAGAAAATTGATAATTTACTAGGATGTCATTTGAGTGAATTAAAATGATAAATAAAATTTGTATTAAAAAATAAATTTACGCTTTCTCATAATTGTCGTTCATTTCCGGAAATTTGAAATCAAATCTTTTAGTGATCATGAAGTTGATTTATTGCAATGAAAGTTATCACTGTAATTTCAGCTCGTTGTTTTACATCAAATGGTGAAAGTAAACTAAAGGATTGAACGTTCACTCGTTTTCCTCACAATCGAAATATTCGTGGATAGTTCATTTTAGATAGAGTAAGAGAATATGAGGGAAGAATTTACCTAACAATTTCATGCATCAACAGTTTCTCATCGATCACGGTTTTACTGTATTTTATAAGGCCATAACTAAACTTCTGCAATAGATTGATGATAAAAGTGAATAGCATATAAATTATCCCAAAACTATTAACTACTAACATTTCCATCGATTACTAAAGCTTTCGTTATCAAATTAAACGTTGGTACGTCAAAACGTGTAGTATGCCGCTTGATTCTACTATGTGCAAAGCACTTCGATTTTTTATGCATAAATTTTTGCCAAATTTACTTCTCTTATATTTGTATATATTTTTTGATTTATCAAAAAATATTACTCATAATGATCTTGAAAAAAAAAAAGAAATGTAATTTTGCAGAAATTTCAAATAAAGCTTTATGGTACAATGAATTGAAAATTCAGCCAAATATTAGCCAACATAATTAGCGAGACAATAAGAAAAGAGAGAAAAAATATGAGAAAAAAAATGTTTCAAAATAGAATGATAAACTAAAAGAAATGTTGTTCAAAAGTATTGTCAAAGCATAAAATGGTTTTTCTATTATTTGGTATTGTTTTTCATTCGAATTCATAAAATATTTGGATCAAAATTTGCAAACTATTGAAAATTAATTACCAGTGAAATGATTACAAATGGGAAATTACTGTAATCGAATAAACAAAACTAATAATGAACAGAGTGTCGGTTAAATGAATTAAAGTGACATACGAAAATTTCTGCAAAAAATGAATACAATATGAAATTCTATCGAATTTTTAATCAAAATTTTCCCATTTAAGTTTCATCAATCACATCATCTATCATTCAAATCAAAAACAATGAGGAAAAAGAATAAACGGTGAAAACAATAAAAATGTAATTTAAACCCTGAATATCATAATATTTTAAATTCTGCAAAGTAAAATTATTCGCTTTATTAGCGTACCCCGTCGCAGAGATATCGGCTGTTATCGTCTGACGTTTGTGAAGTGACTTCCGTCTGTTTTTCTTGAAATTCGATTTCTGACATATTCATCACATTCAACTGTTCTTTCCTTGTACGTTCGTTTGCGTCTCTCCAAATTTCCATGTCGTACGGATGATGATGCTTTACTGCAAATGTCATTTTTGCATGGTTTTTCATCGTTATATGTCCTATTATGGTATTTCAGATTTTCTGCACGCCATAAATTGCCTATCACAATTTGTACGGCCTTTCATGGGTATATATCGTTTGACGGGGAATTCAAATGGTCAATCTGCACGTGTAAGTCGCAGATCACACATTTCTCACATTTGTATTTCTTCTCACCGATACCTTTTCTTTTATGTTTTCCCATATTGCCAACTTGTTTGAATAGCCTTTAGCGTATATGTCACATTTGTGTGATTCTTCATCGGTATGTGTCCTGCAATGACGTTTCAAAATAGCATTCATATTGGAACCGCCGCCGATCACATTCGTTATATTTGAAGTGTTGCTTTTCGTTTGCTTCACTGTCACATTAGTCATTATTTCGCTCTCATTCCTTTGATCTTTTTCCATTCCATTTGGCAGCAAATTGCTGTCGTTCGATATCTGAAGTGACTTAAAATGATTTTATTTGTGGATTTGATGAATATTTTCCTAAGAAATTTTTGAATAGTGATAATTGGAGACATTGTACAGTTATCATTTATCATTGTGGAATCTTTGAATTGCAATATATTGTACTTGGTCTTGCTATTTTAGGAGTAGCTCGATGAATTGTAATAGTAATTTGAAAAAAAAAAAAGAAAAAAAAAAGTATCAATCTCAGTGTCACAAAGAGTTCTGATACTTTTCACCGTTAAATTGATATAAAATGATTGACAAATCGACGTGACAAAAATAATTTGAACGTTCAATGTGGAAATTTTTTGTCTTTACCATTGTTTTTGTTAATGACGTGAAACATCGAATACTTTGGAGGTAAAAAGAAAATATGAAAAACTCGATTTTTCATTCACGGAAAGCAGTTTTTACGTTAGGTAAGATAAAAAAATTTACTTAATTACTGTATGAATAGCAATTTCTTATTCACAACCCGTTACTTGGGCGATGCACGTCAGAAACACAAATATTACAAAATAGTCAGCATAATCGACGTATAATTGGTACGGGAGAGCCAATCAATCCAACGAAGCAAAAACTGTCGCATTAACGTAAAGAGCCGTTTTTTAAATTTATATTATCATCGATTCGAAAGACTCTATACATTATTATATATACGTATGAATGAGTATTCGGAAATCAAAAAAGTAAAGAAAAAGGCAAAAATGAGGAATGATTTACTAATACTATTTCAATTCTATTAATTGTGGTGGTAAATAGTTTAGGAGGGTTGTTTGATATTTGTACTTTTGTGGGGTTAAAGTATGCCCGAATGTTGCGATAGTAATGAGCACATATTCAAGTTTTTGGAAATGTGATCATTACTATCAGTTTTTTTTTTCTGTTTTTGGCCATATATTCGAGAATTTCTCGGCTTAAAATATTAGTAAGATCTATACAGTTGGTATTATTGTATATACTTGGAATAAAATACAGTATAAAACATGCGAATCCATTTTTTGCTACGGTTCTTCTAACTGTAAATAAATAATCTAACTGTTAAAACTGTTAATGAAATTGGTTGGGAACAATTAGAGCTATAAGTATATCGCAAACAGTGAAATACATTTCATAATCTCTAGAAACTCTCGAGCTTGATTTTTGTAATGAAAATGAAATTTTTTTATTATTCGTTATTCTCAATTTTTCATCAATAAATGCTTTATCATAATGTATTTCATTTTTTTTTGTTTTTATATGGTTGTAACATTACTTCTTAGAGGTGAGAATTGAAGCAGAAATGTCATATCATATAAAATAATCCATTATGCTCTCATTTAACTTTGGAGAAATTCATTTTGATTCAT